AGTGCTCAGCTGTGCTCAGCTGTGAGCACTGCTGGGTCTGTCAGCACTGGTAATGTGTGTGGCCTGTCAGGGAGGTGTGGAGGCTCCCACTGCCAAGGCAGCAGTGAAAATTGTGGGAAATGGGAAACGAGGAACCAATTCTTCTTCCCTGTGCCTCTCCCCCAGGGCTGGACCAACGCTGCAGCCCCACTGGAGCTCTTGTCATGGACCCCACCACAGCAGGAGGAGGGGAGGACTACTGCAGGGCTGTGGCCGTCACTGCGCTGGGCTGTGGATGCCTCTGGTGCTGGGGCCACCGAGACATCTCGCTAGGTGTCCTCCGATCCCTGCTCTGGCACATCTAGGGAACAAAAGCCCTTCAGAGCTCATGGTTTGATAATCACTCCTTGTTTCAGAGCCTGGGTCCTCCCCCTGCCCCTCGGGGAGCTGAAGTGCAGAGATTTCTCAAAGTCTGACAAAACAAGACACTCTGGGGACTGGAAAACCTCATGGCTTTGTTTACTCTTGTGCAAAATGACAGTCTGGATCTGGGCAGTTATGCCATATTCCTAGGGCTTGGGAGTGCTTGGCTGATCCCTGCTTGTCTCTGGGTCCCAGCTCTCCCTCACTGTTGCTTCCCAGTTGTCCAGCCTGCCCCCAGGAGTACCTAGCACACCCCTTGGACTGGGGAGCTGTGGGGTGCTCTGTGGCCTGCATGTGCTGGCTGGTGTTCCCAGAGAGGTGCAAAATAGAGGTCCTAAAGCAGGTCTGGGGTGGGGTAGATGTAGCCATGGTGGTGTGGGGTTTGGCAGGGCCCTGGTGAAACCTCTCTGAGCAGGTGGAGGTGGCAGGCTGTGGTGAGATGCTGCAGCTTAGATGGCAGGGGAGTGTTGGGGGGCAGCACTGGCAGAGCTGTGCTGAGGGCTTGGGTGCTGGCACAACCATGCTGCCTGAGCACTCTGCACCTGGACCTTCCGTGGGGTGGAAAGTTCCTGTGCCCACAGGTCTGCAGTCCTGCAAGGGTCCTGTGCCCCCTGGCATGGCTGATCCCAGCAGAAAACTCTGCCAGTCCAGCTCCTTGTGCTTTCGTCTTGTGTCAGCTTCTCCACTTGTAAGGGGCAGCCCTGGCTCACTCAGAACTGGCTGACTGGCTTTGGAGCATGATATTTGCCTGTGCCCAGGCAATGTGCAGAGTGCTGAGTGCTCAGAGCCCTGGCAGAGCTGTCTCCTGTTCTTGCTGCATTGCGCTTGCCTGGCTCCAACCCTGGAGTCCCAATCAGCGTGGGACATGCTGCCTGGCAGGCATTGCTCCATCTGGACAGGATGGTTTGCTAAACCTCTGGCAGTTGGTGTTGCCCCAAGGGAGCTCCAGGCTGTGGATGTGGGCAGGAGATCCTGGTGAGGGAGGGGGAGAAGGAGGGAAGTTTTGGTACCCTGATGCTGCCGTGGACAGTGTCAGAGCTCAGGTCCAGCAGGATGAAGCCCTCTGTGGTTGGTGGAGCAGGGGCCTGGCTGGTGTGCCTGGTCAAGGGCACATTTCCTTGGCCCCACACAGGCCTCCAAGGGAGCCCTTGGGGTTGACAAGGAACCATGCTGCCCCAACCTGTGTGTGCTCCTGGGCATGCTGTTTGCAGGAGGTTGGGAAGCTGCCAGTGCTGATGATGCTCATTTTACTGTCTGGGAGTCCCATTAACCTGATGTTAACTTCATTAACTTCCTTTTAAATCAGCAATTAGCTTGGCCATGGCTGTTGGTCCTGTGCCCACAGCTGCTTCCTGTGGTGTCTGAGATGCCTCCTCCAATGCAGAGCCCTGAGTGGGGAATGGAAAACTGACTCCATCCAGAGGCTGTGGGCTGTGCTGGAGGATGGTGCCACCTGGGCTGTCCTCTGGCCATGCTGAGACCTGCGGGAGGACACATGGCTCAGCACCCCCAGCCTGGGTGCTGCTGCTGTCCCCAGGACGTGAGGGACCTGCTGGAGCTGTGTACTGGAGGGCAGTGACAGCCCTGCAGCTGTGTGGATGTCCTAGCGGCTCCCAGTCCAAACCTTGCCATGACCAGCAAGTGGGACATGGGAGCTTTGGCTTAGGAAGGATGTGTTGGGTTTTTACATTTTTCATTTTTGTCTGGGGTGGGATGGTTCCTGGAGCTGTGTGCCTTAGGGCTGACTCCAAACAGGCACTGGGTGCCCAGACCTGATATCCAACAAGGAAGAAAAAGGAGAGCCGGGAGTGAAGGAACTGGGCACACCGTACTGGTGTGACATACCTCACAGCTCTCCCCTTGGCTGCATCCTCTCTAGGTTTGGGGTGGGCACAGAGCAAGACTCCATGGAAGTTTCATTTGTCTGATATAAAGAACAACCCCAGCACCAAACCAGTGAGGGTGCAGTTTTCTTTCTCTCCTCTCTGCCTCAGAAGGGCGACGGGGCTGAGAGGTACCAACAGAGCTGGTCTGTGAAACTTGGCCAAGAGGACAGAGAGAGATTGATGTTTGCTTGGGCGCTCAGCCCTCAGCTGTGGGCTCTGCCTGCCCCTGCACCAGCTGGGGACAAAAGCTCCGGCCCCGGGTGGCACTGCAGGGCTGGCGTAAGCCCCCCAGGACAGCTGGCAGCTCTGTAAGGTTGGCACCTGCCCAGCAAGACAGCGCAAAGGGGCCATGCAGGGAGGCTTACCCATTGGGATGCTGCACATGTTCGAGTGTCTGAGCTCCACCACAGAGACAGAGCCACCCTCGGCCCCACCTCTGCCTCATCTTGTGTTCTTGTTCCCTGGCCAAGTCTGGATGGGTTGGAAGGGGGCTGGAGACACCCCACAGAGCTGTGTAGGGAGGGAGAATGATGTGGTTTAGGTCTGGGAGATTGCGGGGGGCTCCTGCCCAGCCCTGCTGGCATCTCCCATGTGGGATAGAAACATGACAGTCACCACTTACGTCAGAAAAATCTCCCTTGAAGATAACGACATCTGGGTGTAACGACAGGTCAGGGCTCCTGTTCCCACGGGGCGGTTGTGTCCTTATCCCCCCCACACTGGGGCCCTGCTGGGAGCTGACTGCAGGGTTCTTGGCAAAGACAAATCCCCAGCACACCACTGAAAATCCCATAAAGCTTTATTTGCGTTGGAAGATTGATGCTGTTTAAAAACCCACCGCTGCTAGAGGTTGGCTTGGCTGCCCAGTGCCTGTGGGTTCTGCTTAGATGTTGGTACCTCCCCACCTCCCCACTACCTTGGGTTCTGGGGGAGCCAAGGGACAACCCTTCCTTCCTCTGACTCCAATGAGGCCTCCTCAAAAGCAAGTCTCAAAGGGCTGGCCTGGACAGACCGTGGGCCCTCACAGGGAACCCCACAGGGGGAGGCATGAAGAGTGATGGGATGGAGTTGGCTCAGACTGCCTTTGTGGGTCGCTCAGTCCCCTCGTGGGGTGGCTTGGGCCCACCCTGCTTGCCCCAGGGTGAATGTGGCTGAGCACTCAGAGGGGTTCGGGGGCTGGATGGGGCAAAGTGATGCTCCCAACAGTCCTGTAGGGGAGAGGGTGATGCCTGTCCAAAGAGCCAGGCCAGGGAACATAGCAGGGTTTTCTGCCTGAGTCTGGCTTCAGAAGTCAGTGCTGGTCATGTGCCCCTGCCCTGCAGAGTCCATTCTGCCATGGCAGGTGGGTCACCAGGGCACTTGCTGTGCCATGGGGGCACCACAGCCTTCAAGGAAAAGGGCAAATACTGTTTCCATCCTGCCCTCCCTGGAAGACCCTGTGCCTTCTGCACCAATGGCCATGGGGCAATAGACACTGCTGGGCTGCAAGCCCCCGCAGGCTGACTGTGGGCAGAAGGAAAGGAGAACATCAACACGTTTCTGTCTGTAGGACCTACATAAACATCACCTACTGCTTTTATTTCCTGTTAGGCATGGAGGATATCCAGGTCTGGAGGGCTGGAAGCCTTGCTGAGCTTGTCCTGTCGAGGTTTCAGTTGCTGTCCTCTCCAGTGGAGGAGTTAGCAGGGGTGAACTTGCCCAGGGGACACCACCTGGGTGCAGGGCTGGGGAGACAGCAGGGGAACAGAGCAGTTTTCACCTCCAGCTCTGCACTGGCGCCATGGTGCTGCGGGGAATGCAGCAGTGTGATGATGTCACCACTCACTCTGCTCTTCCAAAAGGATTGGCCAAGATGTCCTCACTGCTTTCATCCTGAAAAATCTCCCTTGGAAGGTGAGCTGTGAGCCCTACCCTGCAGGATATCTGTGCCCCTTTATAATCAGTGGGACATGGCCTGCCTGCTGCCTACCTCAGGGCTGGCATTTCCTTGGAGCAAACAGAGCCTCCTGCCCCATGTCCCTGCCACAGTCCTGCCTGCAGCCATGGGCATCATGGGCTGAGCTCTGAGGGAGGGAAGCAACCCCGACCTGCTGCTTTGCTGTGCGTTGGAACTGGCTGGGGCCAGAGGAGTCCTGCCCATTGCTGGGCTGGGAGCTATAGGGCCATAGTCAGCACTCCATACTGTCTGGATGCAGGCAGGGGTGCTGCCTACTCTTTCTTGCAGCCAAACTCCAGGCCAGAGGAGGGAGGACTGCAGCCTCTTGTACGGCTGCTTGTGGCCCACAGCTCAGTGATGCAGCCCAGAGAAGCAGCAGCCTAACGTGGCAGGTGTGTGGAGGTGGAGAGTATTTTTCTGGAAGGTGGTGTTGACTGGCCACCTAGCTGTGCAGCATGCCAAAGTACCAGGGGCTCCCCCGTGCCATGGCAGTGCAGCATCCCTGGGTACCCAGGGGTGACACTATGCAGGAAGCAGGAGGGATCCCTCTCTCCAGCTGACCATGGAGACCTGTGGTTGCTGATCCCCCCACTTAGTGCCCTGGCATCCAGCAAGAAGGACACGGAGGTTTCCACATGTCCAGGCTCTAAGCCTCAGCCCAGCTGTGCTGCTGCTCTGGGACAGAGGGAAATGCAGTTCTGGCTGAGCTTGCAGCACCTGGGCACACTGGGGTGGGGTGGGGGTCAGACCAAGAGGGAGTCATACTTTTTCAGGCCTCAGGGCACCAGGTGGATGTCCTCTGAGCGCAGCACTTTGTAAACGACCCAGTAGAAGATATTGAAGACCAGGAAGGTGAAGGGGAAGACAGCTCGGGAGATGGTGTCGATGCGCTTGGCCCGGTCGAGGTAGCGCCTGCGGAGGTTCTCCCCTTCTCGCAGCAGTGCGCTGGCTGGTGGG